AAAAAAATGTGGAATTTTTGGAAATTGGAAATATTTCATTTGAAAGCCTGAGGAAATTAGGTCGAGTAAATAAAGATTGAATATGCGTTGGGCGAGGATAAGTTTTTAAAGAGGCGTGCGAGAAAAATGTATTCGGCGGCGCGGTAGAGTGGCGCGGCGGGCGTAAATAATAGGGCATCAGGCACAGATACTTTATGGGATCAGTTGGAAAAATCCTTTGTATAACTCCAATAACCGTGGAGGATAAATCTGCCGGCGCTGTCGAGAACCGGCGGCGCTATCTCGCGCTATAAATGCTGGCCATGCGTCACCCACCCCCCACGGGGTCGGGAGAAATTCGAGGCACGAGGAGGAGGACAGCCAAACAAAGAATGGAACCAAGAACAGAAAGAGGTGGGTTTCAAAAGGTCGAGACGCTACAGTTAAACATTCGAAATTCTACCAGAAGGATTTTCGACCCTCTATTATAGTTTCTGACGATATTTAATCACTGGTAGCCAGTTCTATTTCGAAATTCAACCGGAAAATGATTTTCCAAATTGAATTTTCCAAATAACAATAAAATTGTAAAACTGGAATTGAAGCAAAAATACTTTCAACTCTAATTAATAGTATATTATCATTGATTATCAAAAACCTAACAATTCCATAAAAGAAAAAATTGGTAGTGATGGGTTTAAGACTGAAACACCCATTCAGCTTTCCTATCTTAGGACACTTATCATGTCTACACTATAAATTCTTGTAAAATTGCATAAAATTCGTAACTGCGCTGCCTCGAATCATCAACAATTGCTAATTGTCAGGTTTAAGAGGAACCCTTTATATCTGTTCCTGGTTAAACTGAACCGGTGCAGCATTTATGTATCGGACAAAAGCGTGTCGGGATTCGTGAACGTTGAGATAAGTACTCACCTTGGGTTTCCTCGAAGAGCGGCGTAGTGGAGCGCGTTGAAGCCATTGTTGTTCGTCAGGGTGATGTCTGCCGCGTGGTCCAACAACAGAGCCAGGATGTCGTCCCTCTTCTTCGAGATCGCATCGTGAAGGGGCGTGTCACCTTCCGAGTCCTGAGGACCAACAACAATTCCCTTTACTCAGCATCGTCCAATTCTCATTAAATCTTACAATTAAAGT